AAAACTCGGAAAGTGTTTTTATTGTTAGGGGTTGTTTTATCTCTACTGCTACTCTTGACGGATGGTGCTATTGCTCCTGCTTTGGCTCTTGCTCCCGCTCTGGCTTTTGCTCTTGCTTCTGCTGCGTCTCTTGCACCTGCTCCTGATCTTGCTGTTGCTGCCGCTTTTTCTCCTGCTCTTGTTCTTACTCCTCCTTTTTCTTTTGCTTTGCTCTTGCGGATGTGTTCCGGCTTTGCTCTTGCTCCTGCTCTTGCTCTAACTCCTGCTCTTGCTTTTGCTCTTGCTCTTGCTCTTACTGTGCTCTAAGGATATTTGGAGCCTCGAAACCCTCCACCCTAATTCCGAATAGGTGTTAAAGGGCAGGGATAATTTCGGGAGGATTCGCCCCAATGTGGCTTTATTATTAGGGGGTGTGTAAATAAATTGGGAAGGGATTAAGATTTTAACTTAAGGTTGTAGGGTTTCCGTTTAGGGCTTTTTCTTGCGCTTTCATGCGGTTTTACATGGCTCTACGCTGCTAAACCGTGTTTTGAATAAGGTATTAATCATACGGGGTGGGTCCCACAATTCAGAACAGGGTGGTAGAGTATATGATACTCTATTCTCAGTTCTATGTAGTTATAGGTTACAGGAAATACTTCATCATCATCGCCCTAGCAATCGTAATGACTGAACTAAAAGCAGGTGAAATCGCAGTAACCAGACTTGTGAACCTAACAAACCTTGGCGAGTTCCCAAATCTACATGAAGCTCGTCTATGATCTATATGAAGATCTTACGTTTAGCCACATACCTGCCCTTATATGGTACCTGCTAGACAAGAATCAACCAATCATGAAAGACTCTAACAGAACCTTATAACACCAAGGAAAGTCTCGAAAACCCTAAACCCTAAACCCTAAACCCTAAACCCTAAACCCAACACAAACCTTATGAAAGCGTGTCAACCTTTCCAAGACCCTCATGGCTCCTCTTCTGAGGCCAGGGGACCCAGGCGGTGCTTCATGAGCTCGCGCTGACGCTCTGCTTCTTGAATGAACTCCTCGGAGTGACGGCGTGTTGACTGTGAGGGTTTAGGGTTTAGGGT